ATATATATATATATATATATATTTGTTACAAAATTTATTTTTTTTTATTTTTATTTTTTTTCAATCTATTTTTGTAGCCCATGCCATATAGTGGGATTAAGACTGTTGTTGTTGTATTTTTTCTATCTTATTTAACATATTTTTTGTTTTTAAATAGCCTAAATATAGTGGAGTTTATAGAACTTTGACTCGTGTTTTATTAAGCCAAATGCGAATCCATTATTCCAACTCGATCCAGCTAAACTTACTTAATGCCCATAAATGTTGAACACTTTTTTTTTATATTTATTTCAAATAAAAAGAATTTGAGAAGCTGGTGGTGCCACCTGAGCCTATGTGTGCTGGGGGACGATGATCTGTGCCATGCAATGCAACATGCAATGATCTGTGCCATGCAATGATGGCGACGCAGTGGTATAAAAATTTTGGTTTTTAATATGATAAAAAATAAATGTTGTGTAGGACAAGTGAGGACATAATTAAATCAACATTTCTCAAATTTTATATCATATATATTACACTCACGGAACCCTTGTCTTCTCCATTGTTCACTAAAAACGGACAGAACTTATGTTATTCTTCAATTTTTTTTAAATTTAATTTGTTTGGAATAAACTCATATTTAAAATTATTCGTGAAATCACTGTTCGTGTTTATTTCTTAACGAACAAGCTGAACAAGAGCTGAACACGAGCTGAACACGAACAATTCGCAAACCACGAGCCAGTTTGACATCCCTAATATTAAATATAAATAATATATTATATTAATTATATAACTTATATTATATAAATAGATAATATTTATATTAATATATTTCTAATATAGTATATTAATATATTATTATTATTAGTTTATTATATATTATAATTTATGAAATTTATTTTTAAAAAAATATCATAAACTAATTAGATATAATTATTTTAAATTATTTTAAATTTCAAACAATAATTATTCGAACACGAACAAATGCATCCTGTTTGGTTTGTTTGACTAACCGAACAAAAACAATTTGTTCACGTTCATCTCATTTACTATCAAACGAATCAAATACGAACTCACTGACGAACTGAATACGAACTGTTCACGAACAACGAGATTTTTTGACAGCCCTAATAATAGGAAGGCACAGGCTATGCATGTACATAACGACTTCATAACAGTTCATAACAAACAAGAAAAGACCCTTTAATCTCTATTTTCCAGTTCATGTTTGGCCACGCATGCAAGCTCCAACTGAATTCTAAATCCTTAATTTCATTTCAGATCATGCTCTGAAAAGACCCAATTTGTGGAAAAATTATTGCAACATGAGTCCTATACAGTTTTACATCAAGACTTCAATCAAGATCCCATCTTAATAAAAAATAATAATTTAATGCATGGATGGGACAAACCTTAGATATCATAAATGCTGCCGCCACAAAGATCAGCCTGTGTCTTGATTCATCTGCGCCCATACGTGTCGCCACCACAAAAACCAAGCCAAACTTTAGATATCAGAAAGCAATAAAAGGTGACGGATATACCATATAATACCCTGGCATGCTACGTTAGAAACTCCAGTCCACAGAATATATAGAAAACCATCACAACAATAAACAAACACGGATTTTAATGTCCTAACACTCCACAATACGATCTCACATCATCAGATGGAAAATAGAAGAGCTGATTTAAAAAAAAAATTCATTAGAATACAAAATGGTTATTTATTTTCTAAGGCTCAGTTTTCCACCTCCTCTTCCTCCTCCTCAAAGTCATCATCCGCAGTAGCGTCCTGGTATTGCTGATACTCCGCCACCAGATCATTCATGTTACTCTCCGCCTCGGTGAACTCCATCTCATCCATTCCCTCACCCGTGTACCAATGCAAGAAAGCCTTTCTCCTGAACATTGCTGTGAATTGCTCGCTCACCCTGCAGAACATCTCCTGAATGGAAGTTGAGTTGCCAATGAAGGTAGAGGCCAGCTTAAGCCCCTTGGGGGGGATGTCGCACACACTGGACTTCACATTATTGGGAATCCACTCAACGAAGTAGGAAGAGTTCTTATTCTGAACGTTAATCATCTGCTCGTCCACCTCTTTGGTGCTCATCTTTCCACGGAACATGGCTGAGGCAGTGAGGTAGCGGCCGTGACGAGGATCAGCCGCGCACATCATGTTCTTTGAGTCCCACATTTGCTGGGTCAGTTCTGGAACTGTGAGGGCGCGGTACTGCTGAGATCCCCTGGAAGTCAGGGGAGCGAAACCTACCATAAAGAAGTGGAGCCGTGGAAAGGGGATCAGATTGACAGCCAGCTTACGCAGGTCGGAGTTGAGCTGACCGGGGAAGCGGAGGCAGCATGTAACACCACTCATGGTAGCAGATATGAGGTGATTCAGATCACCAACTGGAATGGATAAAAAGATATGCCATAAGTTAGTTCAAAGAGGAGTAGGAAGAAAATTTGATTCACAGTTGCTTAGACAGAAATAAAAGCAAAAAACAATACTCGGGATGAAGAATGGAATTAAAACTTTAACTTACAGGTAGGAGTAGCAAGCTTGAGGGTGCGGAAACAAATATCATAGAGAGCCTCATTGTCAAGAACCATGCACTCGTCAGCATTCTCAACAAGTTGGTGAACAGAGAGAGTAGCATTGTATGGCTCCACAACAGTATCGGAGACCTTGGGTGATGGAAAAACGGAGAAAGTGAGCATCATGCGATCCGGGTACTCTTCTCTGATCTTGGAAATAAGAAGAGTACCCATGCCAGATCCTGTTCCTCCACCCAATGAATGGCATACTTGGAATCCTACATAAGAATTGGAATAAGTAAAACACGTTGCGTGTCTTTAATCATTTACCAAGATTCACATTGAACTGTACTGGTTAATAACCAACTAGCGTGAATCCACCGAAAGGTTCTAATAACTTGATGAATGGTTCCGAGACAAAAAAAGAAAAAACAGCCGGTAAGAATAAATAGATCATGCCCTTTTATAATTTTAACTAAATAAGACACATTTAAGGCTTTTTTTTTATCATTTTGTTTGAATTTTGATGTGATATTTATGTAATACTAAACTCAAATTTTTAATTCTCGAGGCTTTGAGAGCAAATTTTTAGGGTCAACAAATTATTTTTCTTTTTCAGAACATGTTCATTGGCACAATTATTATTGTTACATGTTAGGAAATTCATCACAAAATATATAATTTAGTGCTTTAAGGTTTTACGAAGATTATGCATGCAGAGAAACACACCACAAATGTAAGATTTTTTACATAGAAAATCCAATAAAGAAAAGAAGTATTAAATTTGGCCCGTTCGAAATAATTTCATTAGTATAAATTAAAGATTAAAAGTGATACTATACCTTATAATTGGAGGTGCTGATACAATGAGACACGACCATAGATAAAATCTCATGTGACGGTATTAAGAGTTTAAATAAGTCAATCATCATCGACTCTTCAGTTAATGAGCGTCAAAATACAATTGATAGACATCAAAACTCGAGACAAAAGGTACAATATTGGTTTTTTTTTTTATAGGAAGGGAGATTGTGCGACAGAGAAGAGACAAATGTTAGATGTTGATGATTGTGAACATCATATGTCGTTCATAGACAGTTAACATCAATGGTTGATAGTGAACGTCAAAAGCCAAGTGACAGAGAGTAGTAAATTTGGTCATTTTTCTGATAAAATAGAAGATTGATTATCCTAGAAGATAAGCATAAGAAGTCAATGGATAGTAAACTTCCCAATTTGATCACTAGTAGGTATTAGACAATAATCAATACGAAACATTAGAAGTCGGGTGACCAAAAGCATTTAGATGCATCCTTAGATAACCATTAAACATCGATGATTGATGAACATCAAACCTTGCTTGATGTCATATTTCAGATGATGGTTGATGAGGAACTTCGGAAGCCAACAAAGGGAGAATGTTTAACATGGCATTCTCTTTCTAAGAGGGGAGATTAAGTGATAAAGATAACATGCATTGGAACTTAGTGTTTAATGAAAGTTGGTTGTTGGCAAACAACAAACAACAAACAACAACAATAACTAGTAAGAATAAATAGGATCATGCCTTTTAGATAAATAAATCATGCCCTTTTATAATTTTGTCCTTTTTAGTTAAAAAAAATCCTTAAATGCCTTAAATGATAAATGATGCAGGCTGCTAAATACGACAACAACAACAACAACAACAACAACAAAGCCTTAAACCCACTACGTGGGGTCGGCCACAAGAATCCTTTTTCTCCATTTTGTCCTATTTAGTGTCATATTTTCATTTAGTTATAGTAAATTAAGATCATTTTTTATACAATAAGTCTAGGTTTTCCTAGGTCTACCTCTGTCTTTCTTAACACAAGTCGAATCTAAAACATTTACTCTCCTAATCGGATCAGCAGATGATCGACGTTTGATGTGACCAAACCATCTAAGGCGACATATGAAAAGAAAAAAAAAAATAGTTTACTTGCATACTACTCAATTCATATGAATTTACATTTAACACATAAACTTTATTTTCGCATATATATACCTCGGGTCGGGGGCGAACCTTCATATATATTTGTGTGTGTGTGTGAGTGCGCGCGCACTCGTGGTGGTTTCGGCGTAAGACCCTCGGGTCGGGGGGCAAATCTCCGCTCTGATGGGCGGTTTAAATTTGGACATGGTGGGACGTTCGGGACTGAAAGGGGGATCTGCCCCTAGGTCGGTCTTGCCCACTTTAAAAAAAAATATACATATGGATATACATATATCTATATACATACATATATATACATACATATCTATATACATACATATATATACATACATATCTATATACATACATATATATACATACATATCTATATACATACATATATATACATACATATCTATATACATACATATATATACATACATATCTATATACATACATATATATACATACATATCTATATACATACATATATATACATACATATCTATATACATACATATATATACATACATATCTATATACATACATATATATACATACATATCTATATACATACATATATATACATACATATCTATATACATACATATATATACATACATATCTATATACATACATATATATACATACATATCTATATACATACATATATATACATACATATCTATATACATACATATATATACATACATATCTATATACATTATACATACATATCTATAGATAATAATTAGTAGAAACGGTGACACTTGACACAGCTGAACTATGGGAAGTACAAAACATAAAAAGTGTGACTTTTCACGGAGTTACTGAGATAAAATCAGACAAAGTAACGCAAATTTAACTTACAATGTAAAAATTTTTGCACATTTACAAACAATACTTGAATTAAATTTCTTTATCTTGATGATTTAATGGCTATAGCAACAGTATATTTTTCACCATAAATCAAGTGCTCGAGGATAAGGCTTCAGTGCTTTTTTTAAAACGTTGAACAAAAACATTACAATGAAATGAAAAAACAACAGTTGATGTAAATTTCATAGAAACATTAAAAATAAAGTTAATAAAATGATGAAAAGCATAATATGATATTACCCAAGATGAAAATAATTAATTGAAACAATGACAATTGACAAATAGAAATGTGGGAAGTATAAAGCTTAAAAATTGTGGATTTTCACAGAGTTACCGAAATAAAATCAGACAAAGTAATTCAAATTTAACTTTAAATGTATACGTGTTAGCACATTTACGAGCAATACTTGAATTAAATATATTTATCTTGATGATTTAATGGCCATAGCATCAGTATATTTTTCACCATATATCAAGTGCTTAAGAATAAGACTTTTGAGTGTTTTTTGTTCTAAACGTTGAACAGAACAATTCAATGAAATGAAAAATCAACAGTTGATGTAAAAAAATGTCATAGAAACATTAAAAATAAATTTTATAAAATGATGAAAAAGCTTAATATAGTTGCATGGATCTGGCATTGGTAATGGCTAAACAAACACCTGGCAGTAAAAAAAAAGGTATAGAATGATTATTAAAGATATTATGGGGTATGCTTGGTTCAATGTTATTGAGATATCAGTATTATTAAGATGTCAAAGTTATTGAATATGATTGTTCTCTGTTAAATAATGTGTTCGATTCAATAATATTATAGCAAAGAAAACCAATGCTATCTATACTAAACCACAATAATGGGAATCTTCAAATGTCACCAAATTAAATGCCGGACCGATGAATGTGTTTGTTAGCTGTTAAACACTGTGTTTGGTTCAATATTATTATATTATGGGAAACCAATTCTATCTATATACTGAAACAATAATGGAAATCTTCGAATCTGTCAACACTATGAATAGTAGGGCATGATTTTCTTTTTTGAGAAGTAGCTTAAAGGTGTTTGAGAACAAAATAGCTGACATCTTGAAATAATGTCATTGCATGTCACAAAATCAAACAGCCTACAAGAAGATTTGAGCTCATACAATAAAGGCCACAATGTGCAAGATAGGGTATATAGAAAAATAATGTAAATTGAGTTTAAATTTAAAAAAAAAAGGTGGTAGGCTATAAAATACAGAGAATGAATGCAAAACCATACGCGTCAAGGGTAAAATCAACTGCAGTATAGTACTATAGAGCATATAAAAACAGAAAACATAAAAATTTAGTAGGCCTGATTATAATCTAAATTGCGAGAAGCAGCTAGAGCAATTCCCCAAGGCATGCTCCTGCAGTCAAATTTCAAACCATTAAATAAAATATCAAAGATCAGCCTCTCTAGTCAATCAATGTGTATACATATTAAATATAGATGTATACAAATTTGAGTCAATCTATAATTTTCCAAAAATACAAACGCTTAATTATCATATAACAAAGAAATTATGAATAGTAAAGCATTTCACCCACATCTCTCATGCATTGCACTGCAGAATGAAAAGGGAATGAATGCAAAACCATACGTGTCAAGGGTAAAATCAACTGCAGTATGGTACTATAGAGCATATAAAAACAGAAAACATAAAAATTTAGTAGGTCTGATTATAATCTAAATTGCGAGAAGCAGCTAGAGCAATTCCCCAAGGCATGCTCCTGCAGTCAAATTTCAAACCATTAAATAAAATATCAAAGATCAGCCTCTCTAGTCAATCAATGTGTATACGTATTAAATATAGATGTATACAAATTTGAGTCAATCTATAATTTTCCAAAAATACAAACGCTTAATTATCATATAACAAAGAAATTATGAATAGTAAAGCATATCACCCACATCTCTCATGCATTGCACTGCAGAATGAAAAGGGAATGAATGCAAAACCATACGTGTCAAGGGTAAAATCAACTGCAGTATGGTACTATAGAGCATATAAAAACAGAAAACATAAAAATTTAGTAGGTCTGATTATAATCTAAATTGCGAGAAGCAGCTAGAGCAATTCCCCAAGGCATGCTCCCGCAGTCAAATTTCAAACCATTAAATAAAATATCAAAGATCAGCCTCTCTAGTCAATCAATGTGTATACATATTAAATATAGATGTATACAAATTTGAGTCAATCTATAATTTTCCAAAAATACAAACGCTTAATTATCATATAACAAAGAAATTATGAATAGTAAAGCATATCACCCACATCTCTCATGCATTGCACTGCAGAACATGGCTAAAGCGCACTACCAAACTCTAATCGACATAAATGTGTCTACAAAATGAGAAAATATTGCATCAGGAGTTCGGACATAGCCATGCTTTCGAAATCCGCTAATATTTCGCCA